AAATCCAGTTCATGATGCCATTGGCTATATGACAACTTGAGTTGCTTTAATTTCATTGGCTCTCCTTTTTCTCTCTCTCTCTCTTTGTGTCCTTTTGTCTTCATGCTATTGGTTGAGTGACTTATCAATACTCATGACGTGATCAATGCAGGACAGACAAATGAGTTTCCAATGGGCTACAGTATAATTATCTGTTTATGGACTTTTGCAGTGTCTGAGCCTTCTACAGCTCAAGAATTGTAGCCCCATGATATATCAATACAAACAGTGCCATGATACGAACAAGCCCCTCCAGTTCTTCCAAGCAATTTAACCAACCAGTCAGATGCATGCAAAACGGACAACGGCGAGAAAGGACATGAAAAGGACTGAGATTTCAAAGTATAATGTCAAAACTAACTTAACATTTTCCCTTATTCTCGCCATCCTTAACTGGCCTTTTTGAGCTCATCTTCCTCCCTTCTCTTGTTTTCCCCTTGTTTAGTATGTTTCCCTATCTGCCCCTCCAATTCCTATGTGTCTGTTGCTTTCTTTTCCTGCTCTCTCTGTTGTGTTGCCATCTGAAACAAAGGAGGTGTCTCAACCAATGGGATTCTACATCTAAGTGTTCATTAACCATGTTTATTTTCTATATGTACAATTTTTCTACAGTATTTACTTTTATTTTTATTGTTACGGTTCTTTGATGAACATAAAGTGGAAATTTATTATGAAAAATAGTTTTGAAGATTAATGAGTAAATAAAATATTACCCAAGTGAGCCTGGAGTGCATTTGTGTGTTGGTTTTTGCTCCCCTCTGCCTGCAGACAGCAGTACTGTGTATCACATCTCCCTCAGCCATGAGTGCAGATCACTGTCTAATTCAGACCAATTAATCGCAACCTTCAACGTGTTAGGAGGCAGATGTGTTATGTGCTTTCTGGCAGAGAGTTGGATTAAAACATCAGTAACATCCTCATGGCTCTGTTAGCTTAGCATAAAGACTGGAAAAAGTGGGATGGATCTCTCCAAAGATAAGAAAATCTGACAATACCTGTAAAGTTCACTATGAACATCTTTTAGTTTAAACGATACAAAAGCAGAAGTTTAATCATTGAAATTTTAGGTTTTCTCATGGGTTACGTACCTGACTATTTTTTTTTTGATCACCATTAAATTCTTGAAATAGTCAAGAACATAACAGCTGAATTGTTGTTTTTACCATCATTATAATACACTTAATTAATGAGCAAAATATAACATAACAACATAAATGGGGAGATTCTGAGATGGTAGCTGGTGTCACCAGTAGTAGATGGTATTTTTTTTTTTTTCTTAACTTTGGACTAGATTCACAGAAAAATAACCATTCACATGTTTGATAATCCATTAACTGCTTAAGTATTTACTAGTTTGAGGAATGTTTTCTGGTCTTTAGTTCTTTGGACTGTTGACCAGATAAAATGAGACTTTAGAAGACGTCACCTTGGGTTTTGGGGCCTTGTAATGGGAGATTTTTAATATTTGCTGACATTTTATAGACCAACAAATCCATAAAAAATAACTGGTAGATTATTTATAATGGTAATAACTGTTGCAGCCCCACCTTGGACAGTGCCAGGCTACTCTAGCTGTTTACTCCTGTTTCCAGTCTTTATGCTAGGCTAAGATAACCAGCTGCTGGCTGGAGCTGGATATTTAACATACATACATGAGACTGGTACTGATCTTCTTATCCAACTCACCGCCGGAAAGCAAATAAGCTTATTTCCCAAAATGTCAAAATATTCCTTTAGCTAACCACTTCTAACAAACTATCTACAAGTTGCAGATTTGCCCACATTCCCTTTATTCCCTTTCACCTCTTGTTTCATCAAAGTAGGGAAAGCAACACCTTTTCTTACAAGTCCTGCTGCATGTATCTGGGACAGTAGACACACATAAATACCCGCTCGCACACACCGAGCAGCGCTTTGAAGTATGACTCAGTGCAGTGAACGGTATAAGTCTCTGCAGAGTTGCTGTTTGCCGGATGAAAGATCCCTGAGACTGCAAAGTTGAGTTTGTGTCCTCAGGTGAGGGGAGCTACAAGGACCTACTATTTCAACAAACACCTCCCAAGTCTCGTTATCTTGTTCTCTTGCTGTCTCTCTTTCTTTGACTCTCTTTTTGTCTTTTGCTGAACAGTTTGTGCTCAACAAAAGGCTTGTGTTCGGCTGTAGCTACCCATCTGCCACTGTGCTGCCCTTGACCGCAGCCAGCCAGCAGAGAGATAAAGAGACACAGCCCTGCGATATTTATGGGCTGAATAAAGTAGAACTCCACTGATCACCAGTGGCCAATCACTTACCTCATGTTGGCAATTACAAGATTTACAGAGAGCTCACACCAGTGATTTCAGCAGGTTGTAATGCTCATTACACATCAGAAAACAAAACTGTTGGATGGATGAAAATTGCATAACTGAGATAACTATAGTATTCTTAGAACCACTATTGGGGTAAAAATATATATACAGCTTGGTCTGAGCATGGTGCAAGAGAAGGCCATGTTGTTTACAACAAAGATCACCAAGCAGAATCAGTCTGATCCATTTAGCTTTGAAGAGAGTGCCAACACGGAGCCTGGCAGTATTTGGTGTATTTGGCACAGCTTACACTTCATTCACTGCCAATTCTTCAGAACACATTCAATCATGTTAAAGCTGACCAAACTCATGCACTGGAAATATTGAGTTTGTGTTACACATATTATATAAGTATTACGTTACCTCTTCATTTAACAGGTCATGTATAGATAGTGAGATGAACTGACTCCATGTCCGTTGATGATATTAGTAACACCTGTGTTTGATAGTCAACATATCTGCTGTGAAAAAGATGTATTGACGTCTTAATTTTTTGCATTTTCAAAGCTTGTTGAGCATGAACAGCGTCTGTAGTTGGCAGTTCACAGTGTCAAAAACACCTCCCCTGCACAGGTGCAGAACAATCAGCCACAGATTCATCCACAATTTCATATCATGTATACACACACACACATAGATGTCAAGGATCTTCCTCATTCTCAATCCTTCATCTCTACTCCCCTCCACACCTGCATTTGTCTCTAGCTTTCTGACTCACTCTCTCCCTGCGTTTCTTGCCGTGTGTTTAAGCAAAAACTCTGGGAGAGTGTGTGTGAGATAGAGCATGTAAGTGAGGTATTACACACGTTGTGGGGACCTAAATCTGTTTACATCTGTACTGTATCGTCTTTATGGGGAAAAAAAGCACGTCCCCATTACATAAATTAATTTTCAAGGTGAAGACATGTACGTTTCGGGTAATTGTATGCAAGTAGTAGTTATGGTTACAGTTAAAATCTCTAGAATCAGTGTGTGTGTGTGTGTGTGTGTGTGTGTGTGTGAGGTGTAGGGTGGTGGTGGTGGTGGTGGGGTGTCAGGAGCTCAAGGCCGTGTTTTTCTGCTTTGGAATAAATCACAAAACACTCTTTTCCTCCACATGAAGTTATCACTGAGCGCGCACACACACACACACACACACACACACACACACACACACACACATTCAACTATTTATCAATGCATGTGTATGGAGAGCAGAAGATGAGCACACAGAAATTAAAATGTCACTCCACACACATACATCAATAGGATGTATGCAGAGTACAGCATAGAGGAATATTATGTCCACTGTTATCATACTCTGTTCATCTGTCAAACAAATATGAGACATGAGACGAAACAGAATCACATGCTTACTATAATTATTTTCATTGTAAGTTTCTACATGCTAACCAAGAGTCAAAATCACCATACACATAAGTTAAAAACAATTGCTGCATTGTTATTTTGGCTACATTTACTTGTAAAATGATCACTCAGAGAGAAAGAATGTGACAGAATATCTTTATTTTGTCTCTCACATAGTGCAAAACCTAAGTCTGGGTAACAAACTGCTGCTCCGCCTTTCTGCCACTCACTCTCACTGAACAGATGAAGAGAGAGGTTTGCCTCTCGAAAAATCCTCTGTAAATGCTCCCTGAAGACCTAGTAGAAAATGTTTGCAGCAAATCACTCTGGAGAAAGCAAAGGCCAATCAGAACAGTCCAACACTCGGCCGACCAATGGCATAATTTCATCAAAGAACTCAACTCTATCACTCACTCACTCACTCACTCACTCACTCACTCACGGACATTTGCTGATAATACAAACTAAATCACCTTTAAGACAAGTAACAACAACAATGAAAACTTCTCATATGAGAAAGTGAAAAGTTTTCCTTGACATTCAATTACTTCCGTTTTTCTTTTTTTTCCATCTTTAGGTGCATTCCTCTTCTATTAATCAAGAACCCCAGTAAATTATCTCTGTTACTATAATGTCAAAAAATGTCAAACCAAATAAGCTTAAAAAAAAATCTAGTTAGCCAGCTAACTTTGTTAGCATTAACATTTGTGACTGGACTGATTAAACAAAACAACAAAAACAGTTACAAATTAATTTCCATTCAGTCAAATTATACAAACTCAAGTTTTAAAAAGTGCCTTACCCAATGATTGAACTTCTGTATGTTTTTTTTCCTTTATTAGCTAAAATTTTTTGTTGGTTTCTCCAGTTAAAAAAGAACTTTTGAGGTGAGAAATGTTGAGTCTTGTTGGGTGTATAAATTTTTAAATATGTTTTGAATAAGAGGTAAATAGGTTCAAAGAAGAGGGTCTTGATTGAACGTCATTAGCATTGCATCCAGTACTAACATATTTTCAGTGACTAAAGTGTGATTGCCTGTTTATGTGATTTGATTTGTAGTGTAAGAAATAAAAAGTGGAAACAGATTTTTCGACAGACAAGAGCAATTAATTTGTGAAATCAGACACAAACACACACACACACACACACACACACACACACAGCCTGGAGACCTCCTACATCCTCATACACACACACAAAGCTTTTCACACGCCCACCCATTCACCACTGCATGGCAAAAAGCCTCAGAGCACCTCACACTTCTTCGCTCTTCAACCTGGCGGTGAACCCTGAGTGGATAGACGGACAAACTTTCATATCAAATCTGGAGTGTGGGCTTTGACGGAAGGCCTGCATGCATGTTAACAACACGTGGCAAACAGAGACAAAATCAGAGTGGGAAGAAGAACACGGAGACCTGAAAAGCAATAAGATACAACAAACTGGGCTTAGCTTCAGACTAGCAGAGGTCTGGCAGGTTTCAAGATAATGATGAGTGTGATAATGTTAATGATTATGGTGATGAACACGGTAACAGCTTCAGCGCCTGGCTCTGAGATGCACATTAAACCTGGAGGTTGCCACAAGCTGGGATCCGGGGTCACAGAGATTCCTTCTAACATCCCCAGCAACACCCAATGCCTGTGAGTACACACAAGTTGACGCACGCACATTATCTGTCGCAGGGTTGGGAGGCAAATGTAAAGCTGCTGCAGCCATCGTAGATGTTTACATTTTACTTGCTGAGCTGCTGCAGCCCAATTTCTCCTCATCAAATGCCAAGAAAACTAAAGTTTTGTGGTATTGGAGGTGATGATAAGTTCTTACAGGATAAGACTTTATGTACAATTCTTCTTGACAGCAACACCGCACTCTGTCCAATTCTTCTTCTACTCTTTTTTTCTGCATTTATAAATCCCTCAACTGAAATGTGGGCTAATTTGGCCTGACACATGCTGTTAATGTGACGGTGGCTGTCCTTGGTGTCTGTGTTCCTCTTGGTTATTGTGAAGAGTGGCAATAACATCAACCCACGTATTTGTGTGTTTTTTTTTTAATTTTTTGTATTAAATATTGTGACTTTTAGTCCTTTGTATGGGCCTAACTTCAACATTACTACATCCTACATTTCCCATTATCCAATTTCATATCATCTTTTGTTCGACCCTCCATGCCTGGTAAATACCCACATCTTTCAAACTCCACATCTGCAGTTTATAATTTCAGAAAGCTTTAAAGCCACAGAATACATCATACAGCTGTTCTTACAGTCTGAGTAGTTACTCCTGTACGGACTGAAATCAGCATCATGTCCCTCTACTCAACTACAACAGGTGAAATAGGTCAATATTACAGGGAATATGTTCCCAAATAGCATTTCCAATCACCATAGTACACAAGGACAGATTCAGGGTGTACGCAATGTTTACAATTCCAAATCCCATCTCGTGAACATGCATAGTCATTTAGACTTCCCTCTCTAATCCTTGCTCATCCCCTTTTTGGCTGAATTTTGCACTGAACTTGCCAGTGCTGGTTTTATTAAACATTCATTAACTCAGGGAATGAATGCAAAGCACATCTGCTCGTCTTCAGCGACTCCCAGTGTCGTCACAACTTTCCACCAAGTAGCTGAAGTTTTTTTTTTTTCGTTAATGCACAAAAGTTATGGCAACGTTTGGGGTTTCTCACTAAAAACACACTGCATCCACATACCCTTGCTTTACACCCATGTTTGCTTGCTAGCTTGCAGTCTTCTTCTTCACTGCACGTGTGGGCACATTGCTGCTTTGCGTGTTACTGCTACCAGCTGTTGATCAGTGCAATAGTGTGTGAAACCGAAGACTGGGCTGTGTAGCTATCATGCAAAACATGTTAGCGCATCATCGTGTGCGTGCATGGTTACAGACAAAATAAGGAACCACTCTTAAAAACATTACTCCATAGCGCTGCAAGTGGTCAAAAATCTCACAGGGGACATTAAAGTTCACACCCAAACTCTGAGAATGTCGGGTGATGACACCCTCCTTACTCCAGATTTTGAAAGGATTGAACATTATTCACATCCTTTAAAAGCCAGGAAGCAATTGTGACATAAATGCTACTCTTGTACTAGCCCGGCTCTGTATTTCCCAAAATGATTAATTTCTAAGAGGAATATATAGTGTTATTTCTTCTTCTCTTAAAAGCGTTAACCTCTGAAGATGTTGATCGAAGTGGTTCAGATTGTTTGTGATGCAGTGACATGGAGCAGAATGAGGCAAGTGAGGGTGGGCTGCCCCTCGGAGTAAACACTGACCTGTTGTTTTGGCCGCTGAAACATTTAGAAGGAATCTCAAGGCCAGAAGGGGGTGGGGGTGGGGTGGGGGGTGGGGGGGGTGACAGCGGGGGTCAGCGTTAAGATTAAGATCGCCTGAGGCTTTTGCACAAACATGCAGTGCAGATACACATAATCGTGCTCACAAAAAGCATATAAACAAATACAGCCAACACACACACACACGCGTGCACACACACACACACACACACACACAGAGGAGGACATTTGTGGTAGAAGTAGCAACTGTTCCTAAAAGACATACTGTGAACTCCCAGGCGGCGATGTGTGTGTTCTCATCTGTTCTGTTCTGCTCGAAGGTCAAGGCTCAGGAAGAGTGGGGATATTTACAAGTATGCAGCAATGGATGGCCATTTCAGATGTGATCTACAGCAACCAGATGCAAAATAAACTTGGGATCTTGTATAGACATGCTGTACACAAAGCAGTTTGTTTCTTGCATGAAAAGAAAATCCCCCAACATGAGTGAGTAAAAGGGTCATGGTCTTGTTGATCTCCTTCATTAATCAATGAAAATACAGAGCTGAAAATGATCCCACCCACACCCGAGACACACAGCAACACTGGCCACTAATGACTTTTCACTAAGGATTTCTCTCCAGTGATTACGACTCTGTGATCTGTGCATCGCTGAGAGCTGATGTGAGTGGCTGTTTCTGCGTCAACAGGAGAGTTAAGCAGACGCAGATCCGAGAGATTCCCCAGGGTGCCCTCACCAGCCTGCAGCACCTCAGGAAACTGTAAGTGTGTGTGTGTGTGTGTGTGTGTGTGTGTGTGTGTGTGTGTGTGTGTGTGTGTGTGTGTGTGTGTGTGTGTGTGTGTGTGTGTGTGTGTGTGCGTGTGGATAGTGTGTGTGTCCCATGTTTATTCTTTGATGTGGAACATAATGAACTGAGGAGGTCAAAACAGTCGAGATATGGATCATCCAGACAGAGGAGAAGTGAGGAGGGGGCGTTGGGATCTATGGCCAGGCCTCACCGGCAAATTTATCTTAACATGTATTTGGTGTAATTCCTCTAATTAAGAAAAGAAAGAGTTTTAGTTTAGCTAAATTATATATACAAGCTAGAGTAACCAAATTACCTCCTAGATTCAGTTTAAATAATACATGAAATCCTTGAAAATAATGGAAAACAACTAAGCACAACAATAGAAACATAGACTCTTTTTGTTGCTATCTTATTAACTTATTTATTTATCTATTTCATCTTCACATCTTTGCCTGTATACTTACATTTGTAGGTTAGTTTTTAGTTGCTGTTGCTGTTGTTGTAGATCAAATATTTACTAATAAACATAAACTCTTGAAATCAGGAAATCAAAAACTTGATTGATTGATTGTTTTGGTTTCGTAATTTCTCCCTGTTTTTTATTTATCCTCAGTTTTAATGATGTGTTGCATACGTGTAGCTTCCTATATGTTTGGATCTCGGGAGATGCAATTATGAACTGCATTTCCCACGTGCACTTGCATGAAACGCACAGGAATGCACAGTTTGATTCGCTGCTAGCTTTGAATATTCCCTCTTGTCCTGTGACCAAAGGCTTGGATGTATTTTTTAATACTTGCATTGGTGTAAAGTGTGCAGGGCCCTCCTTTCTCCTTTCGGTTTTGGCCTTCTTGCACACTCCTGCATTGTGTTGTAAGTGCTGTAATCTTTTCAAAAGTCCTGTAGCAAGATCAATGAGATGATAAATGCCTCCTGTCTTTCTTGTGACTACAGGGTCAATGAAAATGAAATCATTATCTGCATCACCATTTATATCCTTTACTTTCCCCCCCTCTTTGCCCAACCCTGCTCTCCTCTTCTCTCCACCACCTACAACCATAGCATCATAATGAAGAACGACGTGCTGGAGAGTATCAGCGCGTCTGCCTTCGCCAACCTCTCTCAGCTCACTTACATGTGAGTATGCAGTTTTCTAAAAACCCACTGCACGTGACGCATTTTATTCAACGTGCCTTGTGTGTTTAGTCTCTGTCACGGAACAAGAAGAGCTGCAAACTCTGAGAGAGCCAAACCCAAACAGTTGAGGAGTGGGCTTGGCAGTTGTGGTGGAGACTAAATATATCAGAGAATGAGGTGTAAATGAAGACCTGGCAGCTGGATTTTTGTTAATGTACTCTATGTCATATTCTTGTGTCTCCCGCAGCATCATCTCTGAAAACCTTGCTTTGGAGAGAATTGAAGCTTTTGCCTTCTCCAATCTCCCTGAACTCACTGAGATGTAAGTATCACTGACAGGAAAGTGAATGTGGTGAAAACCCCTGAAACTGTAAGACCGGTCATCTATAATAGTGAGTACATGACTTTATGTGTTTCTTTCAGAAACATAGAAAAGTCAAAACACCTGAGTTCCATCCATCCAGATGCATTCGGGAACATCACGAAACTACAGCATCTGTGAGTACTCTCTAAGAGTGCAGCAAAGAGGAACATGTGCTTCTTCAACTTGCGCTTGTCAAACTGATTGTGAGTCCAAAATGGGTCATGGGTGACAGGCCTACTTCTGACAGGCCCCCACACGACCAGAGACATCATTTTTTAATTAGTTTGGATCCTTTGAAAGAGAAATCAAGTATCACTCTTCATCCCAAGGAAGTTTTCTCTACAGTATGAACTATACCATTTCAAAGATTTTAATGTATTTGTTACAAAAAGAGACTAAATTATACTGTCAATATCTTATGAAACACTCTTAAAGTAGCTGTTTATAAGGGACAATGAAAAGCTAAAATCTCTCACTGACATTATCATACTTGTCCCAATTTGTAAGAACTGGGTCACATAAACAGATGGGGAAAAAAATACATTTCTCAAACCCCCTCAGCACAAAAACATTGTATTTTGAATTACATAAAAAAAGGGGGTAAAAGTTATTACATCTTGCAGATTAAACACAACAGAGGATTATCCTTAAAAACCTGAAATGAAGCCATTCAAGGATGACTAAAAAACAAACATTATAATTTATGATATATGTATGTGTAATGCTAAACTAAATTTATAATTTACACATTCATGATATCATATATACATATACATTCTTTGGTGTCTCACAGTGCTGATAAAACACCCTCTACAAAACCTTTAACTAAGGTTGTCAGGTTGTTTAATAGAAATATATATTCAGTTTTAGGAAATCAGGTCACTCTTTTTAAGTTTCAAAGCTGTTGTGCTCAAGAGTAAGTTTTCTTAGAGACAGTACCTACCGCTGAATGAGGCTGAACTCGTCATGTGTTTTTGCCAGACAGTTGTTTGGGACAGGGAGATCTTTAAATGTCTAATTTATCTCTCTGGCACCTGAGCCTCTCTGAACATCCTTGGAATGTTTTCACATGTTAATTTTTTTTTATCTCTGTTATTACAATGAATCTTACATTGTCCGATTCTATCACTGTGAATGCACAGTAACATTTGCTGGTTAATCTGCACATCACAGGACCATCTCCCACACCACACTGAGAATCTTTCCAAACTTCTCCAAGATCCAGTCCACAGCCACCGAACTTCTGTTGTAAGTCTCCACACAATGAACAAATGAACTACAAATGCATGTTCAGATATACACCCACACACACACACACACACACACACACACAAACACACACCACTATTCCCACATGCACCTCAACATACAGGCTATTGTATGCACACAGTATTAAATATGCAGAGGAATGAAGAAATCACACCATTAAACATATAACACTGCAGTTAAAGCCTACTCACTGAGTAGTCCTTACAAAACAGAATAACATGGATGCAAACCATCTGTTCCTGGTCTCCAGTCTATAAAAAATCCATCTTTAGCCCATCTCCCATCTGACATCGACCAGCTTCTAAAAGGAACTGGATTTTTAAGTAGATTGTAGCATGTATTTCTAATATTTTGCATCATAAGTGTACATGCTGTATATCTGCTGTTTTCATACTTCTACTTACTTCTCAGCATTTGTTGTTTATCACGACTTTTTGATCTTTGTCCCGCTTAGTCAACTGCAGGAGAACAGCCACATAGAGAGAGTCCCCGCCAATGCCTTCAGAGGCCTCTGCACTCAAGCCATCTTAGAGATGTAAGGGATTCATCTTTCTTTTTTTTTCTTCTTTTTTTTAGAAACACACCACCCTCACACAGCTCCGAGTGGGCATTATATACGCAATGATGAATGTTCCCTGAAATGCTCTCTGCCCTCTTTACTGGGCTCTGTCTTCTCACTCTTGTCTCCTTCTTTTCTGCACATCTCTAACACTCTTACCACTTTATATCAACTCATTATTTTTTTTCCAACATCCCCTATTTCATTATCATTATTTCATTAATTGGTTTTCTTCTGTAAATAATGCAAAAATGATAGCAATATTTGTGAAAAAATAAAACTAAGATGTTGCTAATATTACAGTAAGGCACCAACTACTTTGACTGTTACTGTTCAGTGGCCATCCTAGACTCCTAAACGCCACACATACGGAGGACACTACAATTTACAGTCTCCTAAACGTCTCTGATGCAGACTATCAGTAGACATTGCAATTTACCAATGTCTCCTAAACGCCTCACATGCAGGCAATGGGTAGATGCTACAGCACACATATCTTTTAGGGCAACAGCAGTGCGCTGTATTGTGTCTTTATGAGAGGTTTAAGGAGGTTTGTAGTTGAAGGGCCATCAGGGGCACATTTTCCCCTTGGGTGGCCCCAAGTATTTGCCAGGTTTGCCTCACTAGACGCACCTCTGCTACTGCTAATACTCATAATTTATTGGCCAAATGTAAAGCTGATTGGTAAACAATGGTGGAAAGTAAAAGCAAAAGTGGATAAGTTTATAATGGACTACTTTTAATTTTATATTGCTGTTTTTTACTGAAGTAAAATTATGAGTATGTCTCCCACCACTGCCAAATCTATCCAGGAAACATAGTTTGCCCACAGCTGTTAAAAAGCAGAAAAGGAAGGAAGAGAAAAAACAATAAATCCAATTAATTTGGTGCGTTTGACTAAAATCCTGTACAGCTTTAGTCACTAAGAACAAAGGATCTGCACACACTAAAATTAGCTTTGATAGTTCAGATAAGTTTACTGTTGGAAATGTTCTGTATTGCAGCCACATGACTGTAATTTGGCTTCTCTTTCCAATGACAGACGGCTCACCAGAAATGGCATCAAGGAGGTGGCAAGTGACGCCTTCAACGGCACAAGGATGAAAAAATTGTGAGTCACAGGCAGAGACACAATTACAAACAGAAGATTTACACAAAAATAAAATAAAATAGTCAGCTCTCATGTTTAATTTCTCTCTTTTTCTCCCTCTCTCTTAGGTCCCTGAGAGGCAACAAACATCTTACTCACATCAATCCCAACGCCTTTGTGGGTTCCAGTGAGTTGGTGGTACTGTAAGCATGACATTTAACAGTAACTCATGCCTACACGATTCACCCTCCTCATCATCACTTATTAAACTCAGGATGTAGGAGAAAACAAGAAGCAATGTGACATGTGTGGGGAGACTCAAAAAAAAAAAAAGACGAAGCTTAGAAACATGATGCCAGATTTAAGGTAAAAATAAACCGAGAGCAGGTTAATTTTACCCGGAGAGACCTGTTTATTCCCCAAACAAAGAGACACCTATTTCCATTGAAGTAGAAATCAAAAAAAAAAAATGTATTTGTTTTTCTTTTGGGCTGTGATGTTTTTTTTCCCGTCCACATCCCAGCAATCACTTGGCAATCAAACTGTAGCTCTTTCCATGAATTTTTCCAATCGGGAAATTTGAGTTTCAGGGTTTTATTCTTAGCAAAACTTGATTTTTGCTGGCATAAATATTTATACATCACTTCTTACACCCTCTGGAGTCCTTCTGTTTTCAGTGAATACACTGAGCATGTTTTATTTGCAGTGAGATAACTTGATTTATATACCATGTAGACACAGGCTGAGTAAACCAGCTGAAAGTGCATAATATCATAATACATAATATCATATTTATGTCTGTGGAATTTTCTAAAACTGTATTATTGTACTTTATTAAAATTAAGCATACAAAGACACAACATCCTGTTGGAATGAAGTCATTTCACATGTAAATAGACTGTATTATGTATGTTTTTGCTGTATTTGTGTGTATAAATAGTGAAACAACCTAAAACAAAGACAAATAAAATCAACCTGGACTCCTGAGGGATACACCAACACTTCACTTTTTATGAACTGATCATATATTAATAACGAAGGAGCCATCTGTCAAAAAATGGAATGGATTCTGAAATTCAAATGATAGTTTCAGTCGCTCCTCGGCTAAAGCCTCACTTGTTTGTGCAGGGACGTCTCTCACACAACCGTCACCTCCCTGCCGGACTCCATCCTCGGTGGGCTCCAGAGGCTGTTCGCAGAGTCCGCCTTGGAACTGAAGAAACTTCCCTCTCTGCAGCTCACCAAACTGCACCAGGCCAGCCTGACCTACCAGTCGCACTGCTGCGCCTTCCAAAACATACGCAGGAACAGGTAGTCGAGAGGTTTCTGAACATTTTGGGAAACATGTTTACATACAGAAAACATAAAAATGACAATTCAAGTTTTATGGAGGTTATGCGCAATGAAATGATGCAATGTTTTATTTTCTTATATCTCATTATAACTCAATTTCTGGTTAATCAACATTAAGTAATGCTGTAGTATTGACCACAGAGCTTTGGTATTGAGGATTTATAGAACATGTGTTAAAAATGCACTAAGTGTGTGTTGTTGTGTGCCAGATCGAGGTGGAACCACCTGTGCTCCAACCCCAACGCTCCGGATCAACTTCATTTCTACAGAGAACACTGCTCCAACTTCACCTCCATCACCTGCAGCCCAGCGCCAGACGCTTTTAACCCCTGTGAGGACATCATGTCCGCCGTCCCCCTGCGGGTCCTCATATGGATCATCTCAATCCTCGCACTGCTGGGGAACGCAGTAGTGCTCCTTGTACTGATAGGTATGGAACAGGAAAATCACTTCTGAAACAGACTTCACATTTTCGCACAGTATTTCCATTTTGAGAAACTTACATACTTTTCCTCCAATATACTCTAGAAGCCGATCTACTCTTCATACTTACATATTTCTTTTCTTCTATACTTCCAATTCATCTGCAGCTGATAATAAGATATCCTCAAATCCCCAGAATTGGAATGAAGAGGTTTTCACATGACAGCAAAACCCAGCTTTACTCTCTTTTGCAATCAAATATCAACCTGAGGACATTTTACTGTTAAAGACCCCCTGTGATGAAAATCAAGTGTTTGTCCACATGGGGTTTTTATATAATACAAGACACATCATGAGCAAAATAAGCAGTCAACACTATGTATTTCTACCTTAGAACTGCAGTGAACCAATGACAGTCTCGGAAAAATGGATTAAGACAACCAGGGATTCATATGTTACAAACCTAAGGAACCAATCCCATCAACTTGCGGGGACTGAGGCAGGTAAAATAAAACCCCAAACCTCGTCATTGCAGAGAGTGAAAGTTTGCATTAGCACAACTACTAACACTGTGTCAGCCGCTGTTAGCCACAAGCTAGCGAACAACATAAACAAATAAAAGATTCTAACTACCGATCTGATACATCTGCTAATTGCTGCGAACCTCTCACTTCTCAAAAACTCCTGAGTCTGGGTCTGACTGAGGCAGAACATGTGGTTCTGCTCCTCTGCTAATCATCTTGATAGGCACTGCTCTTTCACTGGTCAACCTGGCAGCAGTGGTGGGCGGGGCATAAAGCCTGATCCTTTCTCAATGAGGAAGTAAACGTGGATGTGCTTCCAGCCCCAGAGTATTCAAGAGTTTTTTTTAATATAATTTAAAACATGTCTGGAGAGGAACATTAATTCTTGTTTATTTCTGGGTATACCAAGACAAATGGTAATTTTTCTCACCTTTCTGTTTCCACTGTCAGGCAGCCGCTCCAAACTGACTGTTCCCCGGTTCCTTATGTGCCATTTGGCCTTTGCCGACCTCTGCATGGGCATCTACCTGGCAGTCATAGCAACTGTAGACATGTTCACCCGTGGCCGGTACTACAACGATGCCATAGACTGGCAGATGGGCCTGGGTTGCAGTGCTGCAGGCTTCTTCACGGTACGTACATACACATGGAGTCGTGTATGTGATAGCCCTACATCAATGACAACAGTGCACAGGTTTGAATAGAAAATGTGTATGTGTGTGTGTGTGTGTGTGTGTGTGTGTGTGTGTGTGTGTGTGTGTGTGTGTGTGTGTGTGATTTGCAGGTGTTTGCCAGTGAGTTGTCAGTGTTCACATTAACAGCGATCACCCTGGAGCGCTGGCACACCATCACACATGCTCTGCGGCTCGACCGTAAACTCCGCCTGAGACACGCGAGTATCGTCATGACAGCAGGCTGGATCTTCTCATCTCTGGCCGCTTTGCTGCCCACAGTTGGAGTCAGCAGCTACAGCAAGGTGGGTGTGCAGACCGCACATTAATTAAACTCCTCTGTGCTTTCCACTTTGTAACACCAATTTACTGTACGTTTCTTCAAGAATTCTAGGTAATTGAGGATGCAAAATGGTGCATGAACTCATCCCTATATATCAAGAGAGATGTTGCCATATGTCACCTATAATATATTATTAACACATAACCTATATGTGAATGATGAATTCTTTTATGGTATAACATGTTGCAACCATATATGTTAACGATATATATTTAATTTATATATGCAAGTTAATGAAAACAACATACAGATTAAACTTTTATATGCTTACATGTATTTTTATTATTCATTTCTCATTAATTTTAAACATGTCTGCCTTCCCATTCTGGGAAATTAGTCTCAGACTTTTGGAACCCACTGTACATAATATAAACACATATTATCAGGCTTTGGGATAGATATATATTTGAATAACACGTCTACAATGTAAGCATACAAACATACATGACAATACATCAATTTACTATTATGTACGACAAGGAAAAGCAGCAAATTCTCACATATGAGAACTTGGGACCAGCAAATATCTGGCATTTTTGCTTGAAAAATGGCTGCTAATAATGCTACCCAATTACACAGCACATAGTATGTTGTCTGCTGTGTCTAATAATCCATTTTCAGTAGCCAATCTATATTTTGAAAGAATGTTTTCTACCTTTACATCACAGTCTGAAACATATATAGTAAAGCAGGTTGTCCTCAAAACCACTAGCCAATTTAAAGATTGCCATGGCCCATGTCCATATTGTTATAGTATTGGTGTTAGCAACTAAAGAGTTTTTAGGCTGTTACCCAAAGTGACTCTGCTATAGCTGCTTTGTTTTTTGTTCATTTCCACATATTTTTTATGGCATATTTGCCTTTGTTTGATGGAGAGACATCAAACGCAGAGAAAGAGAGGCACAATTACAAGCGGTTTCCAGATGGAACCAAATGTTGTGGTCACGTGGTATGTGTCTTAAACCACTCCAGCACCAGGACGCCAACAACACAAGTGCAGCATTGCTGATGAAATGTGCGATACAATATATCAACAATCATTCACATGTATTACATGCATTACCTGTAGATGGTGGTTTAGTTTATTTGTTCATATGAACATGAACCTATTTACACATACAGTAGGTGACTGTTTCTATAGTCTACTGCTCCATAAACCCTCATAATGTGGAAATGAAGAATATCCAAGGCCCCTGAACACCTTGTATTTGTTCGTAGTGCAGGTTAGTATCTGCCTGCCCATGGACGTGGAGTTTCTGGCGTCTCAGGTCTACATTGTGTCTCTCCTCCTCCTCAACATCCTGGCCTTCTTCTGTGTGTGTGGCTGTTACCTCAGCATCTACCTGACCGTCCGCAACCCCTCGTCAGCGCCGGCCCACGCTGACACCCGCGTGGCCAAACGCATGGCCATCCTCATCTTCACTGATTTCATCTGCATGGCTCCCATCTCCTTCTTCGCCATCTCGGCCGCCCTGAAGCTCCCCCTCATCACCGTCTCACAATCCAAATTCCTCCTGGTCTTCTTCTACCCGATCAACTCCTGCTCCAACCCCTTCCTGTACGCCTTCTGCACTCGCACCTTCAGACGGGACTTCTTTTTCCTCGCAGCCCGCTTCGGCCTGTTCAAGACCCGGGCGCAGATTTACCGGACAGAGAGTTCGTCCTGTCAGCAGCCGGCGTGGACCTCTCCAAAGAGCAGCCATGTGGTGCTGTACTCCTTGGCCAATGCATTGAGTCTAGATGTGAAACAAGAATGCTGACTGTCTCTCAAAAATCTGCAGACTTTTTGCTGGCCCATGGTCAGAGAGGCCCTATTTCTCTACGGATGAAGCTACAGTCATTCTGCTAGCTCTGGCTCTGGCGAAGATATTGACAGAATAAAATATGAACACCTATTAAAGTAAGAAAAATTCAACTTGGTTTAAGAGATCCTCTTCTTCTCTCTCACTTGTTGTGGAAATGTAGAAGTGCACTGTTAAATCCTCATTTTTACTATTTAGTCAGCTTTGATTTTTAGTTGTTTAGTTTTTATCTATCGCAAGTATGTTGCAAATATCTTTGGCCAGACCGTCAGCTGCTTACTCTTTGGACTCAACATCTGAACCACAACAACTCGGGACACAAGTGTCAGTGTCCTTCCAAACCCATGTGACCGGTGGTTAAACTCTACTCTATGCACAATAGCAACCCGAGCATGGATAGCCACAAAACAACTGCAGATACTTTGTCCAAATCTAGGTCAAACTGCTGCCCTAGATAATTCTTTGTGTTTGTTTTAATTTCATTGGAGTGCCAGATGGGTGGAGTTTACCGCAACATAACAATTTAGATCATAAGTAGAACGTAGAAAGAATAGGAGAAGAAGTAAACTGACTTCACTTTCATGTACAGTCTTATGTAACAAAACACCATCCATCTGGTGTCCCTAGATAATGAAACCAACTAAAGGGCTTTGAAACAGTTTAGCAAAGGTTCTGACGCTCTGGATGTCAGCATATGCATGTCAAGAAATCAACAGTCATTTAACATTCAGTGTTATGATTGAATGATATTCATTATGAAGCACACCATGGGGACCTAGTGATTAATAATCTCTTCAAACTTTCCATCTGCCGTAGCTCTGGATGCCTCCACAGCCCCCTCTACCACTCAGTTTCTCTATTTGTTTGAAAAGAGGGGCATGTAATTATCTTTGTAATGTGATTATGTTTATTGTTTGTAAATGATAGTACTACTAAGTATCACCTTTTTATATCTTTGGTTTGCACAAAATGTATGTTTGGGATCATTTTTATAAAGTTGTTTATTATAATTTCTCTCCTTGAGATTTTGTAGATTTTGTAGTGAGCGTGTGAAGAGTAGTAACACACGCACACACACACACACACACACACACACACACACACACACACACACACACACACACACAGACATACATATACACACACACACACATACACACACACATTAAACTGAACTGTCTTTATCTAGAAATGCTGTCCTTCAGAGGATCCAAAGATTTCAAGGACAAAGTGACCCTACCAACCTCTGCTCTGTTTGCCAGGGTGGGTGGGTGGTTGTGGGAGGGGAGACTACACAGCTGTTCTTTCTGCTTATTACAGGAGGAGGGATATGGCAGCTAGATAAGACACGCACATACCCACACCCACACACACACACACACACACACAGACAGAAGCATGCCAGGGTTTCAAGGCTGCAGCTGCAAGAAGGAGTCCATCTCATTGATATGGATACACTGCCTCTTACATGCCAACGCTGAACGTGTGGGTGCATTTGTGCTCTTTAGCCACCAGGTGATGCTACTGATGCAGGTTTTATTGTGATCTCTGCTCTGTCACGGTCTATCCAGCTGTGAATAACAATACACTTCAAGTCACACCGATCGACAAACAGCATACATTTGATATCAAACAACTGATGGTGACGGGAAAGCACACACTTACAGCTGCGCTGTTACAAAAACATAACATTAATGTGGAAGCTAGTATAATAACAATAAAAAGTAGACAGCTGGGGGCATTATTTCCTAAAAGATGTCTTTATAGCAAAGCATGGACATTAAACCGATACAGTTATCTCAAACAGGAATAATGTTTTCTGGCTTCAAGCTTAGACTGAAACAGTCTCTATGAGATGTTGCTTTGCAGCTTCAAACTGGAAATGAAAATGAAAAAACTCACCTAGTCCTTGCCTGGCCTTGGAGACTATAGTACACACTGTGTTGACAATCTTTAAAGTCTCTATACAGAGTGCTGTGGAATAATGTGACATGCCTGTGTCTCCAGAAATACAGATATAATGCACAGTTTCACTATAGTTCAGTTTCACTATAGTTGCTGCCACTCAGAGAATATTTAGTTTAGGAACTATTTTCAGTAATAACGTTCAGGACTTCCTGTTGACCTTCTGTTTAAGACATGAAAAATATTATAGCAACACCCCCTCCCTCCCAAAAATGGAATTTATTTGAAAACGGCCAAGAATTAGGATGATTGTTTTAATTTTGGTAAAGAACACAATTTCCTGTACCTATTGCATATTTTTTCACATATACAGTATAGTATAGTATATTCTTGATTTTTTTTCTAAGCACTAAAAATGATTGAAGGATTATTCACTTCTGTATTGCACTCTTAAGGCCCTCGAACTTAGTTGTCCTAAAAATGATTGAGTGCTTGTTTCGTTGAATGTCGAAAGGTGTGGTGAGGTGCAGATGCTGTTTGCTACATGCAGATGTTCTCCAGACAGAACACAATGTGATGACAGAGAAGACTCCAGATAAAACCTTGTAACAATCTAACAAAGCAGCCTGTGTGCAAGGCTGAGCTGGGCCCTCAAGTACCTAATCATTTGGTCGTTTGCAGCCAAACAATGCCCTCTAGTGGTACAGTTACCGTAAAACTCACCTCCTTTAGGCTTTAAAGGTGGCTGGGCTGTTAAAAGGCTGTAGTTTGGTTTCTCACAGAGGCTATAGTCCGCTTGAATTCATGTGTAAAATGGAGGCAAATAGTATAGAAAATTTGTGTGCCACTGGAATAGATTACAGACTTTTAAATTTTGAATTAATCAATGAATTGATACATTTTTAAAAATTCAAATAAACTAATTAGTTAAACTTGGATATAAATAATGAACTGAAGAAACTTAAAATAAAGAAATTACATTTTCCAGGTAATCATTTTAATTTGTGTGTTTGAACCAAAAATTAATAACTGAGTCTTCAAATAGAAATGCAGGATTTTTAAAAGGCTTTTAAATGTTATATTTTGTTATTCCATTTAATAATGTCTCTACCTATCTATTAATGTTTCTTGACAAATACAAATTTGTATTAAATTTGTATATACAATAAATGATGCAAGCAATGAAAGAGATACTTTAATTTCCTAATTAATAATTTTGTTGCCCTATTGTGTGTACAAAAATGACTCTTTAAACAGAATTACATAATTAACTTCCAAAGGTTTTTAAATTTAACTTTTTGTTATGCTATTTACTAATCTGTATGCTTGTCATATTCCACACAATTCATGTTTCCTTAAAGCAGGAAACATGAATTGTGTGGAATATGAATAATTAAGTTTTTATTTCATAAAAATTAATATTCAAGATTTTAATGTGTCAGAATGTCCATATAAACAAGCACATCTCTGCACACTTTCACCAAATTATAGAAAATGATAATAATCAATCCCTTATGAACATGGCCCCAAGTTACTGTTAATATATTAATATAACAGTCAAGGAGCTCAGTTAAAAGACACTAAACAACCACAAAGAGACAAAGCGACTACGAAGAGATATGAAAGGTCTACAAAGAGACTAAATGAGTCTAAAGAGGTGTGAATGGACCACAAAGAGACGCAAAACGACCACAAAGACACATAAACAGCGACAAAGAGATGTAAAAAGGACCATAGAGAGACACAAAATGACCACAATGAGACACAAAATGATTTTTAAAAAAGACACAAAATAACTACAAAGAATGCACCTTTTGTACTTATAAAGTCTCTTTCAGTCTCATATAGGAAGGGGGGGGGGCGCTTTTACTTGTCTGTGCCCAGGGGCCCATTTTCTCATAATCCGTCCATGTTTATTAGATAGGAAAATAATTAGACAAATACGGGGCCATTGCCTCTTGTAAATAATTTAGTAATAATAAAGTTAAAGTGTGGAAATGCTTTAACATTAACAACTATTACCTTAGTCAGGCACACTATTACCCAATTACAGCAGCATGGAGCCTTAGTCCTTTTATCCATTTATGCGCCTGACACTGACCCCTGTGGCTGCAAAATGCACATTATTTTGGGCCCATTGGAGTGTCCCTGCATTGATCAAATCGCCTCGCCGCTTGACCGATTCCGAACCCCAACAGAAAGGTTTGTCAAGTTGTCTAACACGAAGCTCCTGATTGGTTAATGCACGAGGAGCTTATAAAACGCCAGATATGATTGGTCGAACGGACACTCTGCTCTTTTTTTTCTCGCGATTGTTTCCCGTGTGGGTTAATGGCTCCTCCTGCTACAGACTGAGACGGAGCTGGCACCGAGCGGCGATACGGGGGGAGCTGTAACATCACGGAGAAAAAAAGCGATTACACCCCAAATACCAGCGGGTTTTTGATCGCAGTTGTTTGGGTGTATCAGGGAAGAAGGCCGTCCGGGTGGTAGTTTGGGTCTAGGGCTAAATTTGGAAGCGGACGGTCGAGGATAGCAGTCTATTTTTCAACAACCAACTCCCCAGATGAACTCCGTCAGAGCCACCAACAGGAGACCCAGGCGAGTGTCGAGGCCGCGCCCGGTGCAGCCCGAACGGAACAACGGGGACAGAGGTAAGCTAGGCCACGGTCAGCTTACGATTTAAGACGAAGCCGTGTCAGGGGATAACAGTCTTCATGTAACCCTCGTTTATACCTTAGTGGGCCGTTCTCTGCGCTTTAATGCGGCGGGTTCAGCAGGAAAAACCGAGGCTTCTTGCTCTGTGGCTTAGGCCAGGCCGCGCTTTGTTTGGCTTGAGTGATTGGGGCTAGCTAACACCGCTAGCTAGCTTACCAGGTTAGGTGGAGGTTGGGGGTTGTCTTCGCCTAACGTAATGCGTATGTAGCTATACGGTTAACATTAATAGCTCATATTCAGGTAACCTCAGCTGGAAGCAAACGGATCGACTTCACACGCTATAACTACAGTCTCTCGTGTCTGCTCGGCTGTTGCATTCCCAGCTGTCACTAACGATTCTGAGGGTGTAAATCTGCGGTGTCTTTGGACTGCCATTTTTGGGGTGTAACGTTAACAAAAACATTAGCAGCGAACGGGGGCAATGCTAGCTAGCTGCCCCAGCTTCAAGAGGCCACACAGATCAGCTGTGATAGATGATACGGTGGGATTTTGGATGATTTCACTGTGTCCATTTTGTGTGGTTGGGGCTGTAGTTTAAAGCTAGCGCAGCCACCAGCTTGAACCCATATCCCCTTCCTTGTTCTCGGTGCCTGCTAGCTGTAGCTTGATTTGTTTACACCGCGGATTTGCCAGCTACGCAGTTCAGTTTTTAGCCATTAGCCGCACGTCTGATCGACTTCATTTGCGGCCCTTAATTTGACAGCACCATAAAAGATGAGCCTAATTCTGCACGTATACGACCCAAAGACAAATGCACACTGTCCGATATCAGCTGTGTATGACTACACATGAAAGAGTGGTAATGTGCTTGCAGGGGGTGCATCTGCCATTATCAATCAGTAACCTTTGTCTGCCTTACCAACTATTGCCCTGTCTGTTAGCCTGCGCAGTGTGCATACAGCATGTGAGCTGAATGCACACCATTGTGTCAGTAAAGGTAAGGAGAATAAGAGTGTCAGTGGTTTAAGTGTTTGCTGCAATCACTTGAGAAATTGTAGATGTTTAATTGAGTAAAAGTCTGGGAAGATTGGGCTTCTTAGAGAATTACCCTGTGGTTCCCTTTTTTGTTTTTTGTTTTAATTGCATGGCCTTGCTCCATACTGCAGCTTTGTGCACTGAAGTGCCTCTTCAGAAAGTGGTGGATGTATAGGAAATGTGTTTTCCCTTCCGTCCAGATGAGGAGGCTCCTGCAGCAGCTGCAGCAGAGATGGCTATTGAGGAATCCGGTCCAGGAGCTCAGAACAGTCCCTACCAGCTTCGACGCAAAACCCTGCTTCCCAAGAGAACCGCTGCTGCCTCTGCCACCGCCTCTGCCTGCCCCAGCAAGAGCCCAATGGAGGTAAGACTGAAGCATTTGAGTTCATTATTTCACTGCAGTTTGCATGCC